AAGCCCGGTTTTTAGCTTTCGCATTTACCCGAAATGGGGAAGGGCCCCTTGGTCCCACACGCTCAGGGACGCGTGGCGCTCTCAGCAGTGGCGCGAGTTTCAGGATTCAGGCACAAAAGCGGCACATGCCGCGCCAGAGGTCGCTGAGAGGGCCGTGGTGGTCCCAAAGGCTTGCGACCGTGCTCCGCCAACCTTAAGGCCGCATGCGCGTGCCGTTGCTGTCGGCCATTGGGCTAGTCATGCACGCACGCGGAGGATGCGGATAGGCTCCATGAGTGGACCTGCTCGGCGTTGCGCCCTGGCGCCCTGCCCCTACCCCATAACCCACTCCTCAGGGCTTTGGGGTGGCAAGCTGCAGACGCAAGCCTCCTTCACCAATTGGCAAGGGTACCGGAAAGGGTTCTCGCTGTGCGATACCCGAGTCCTACGTAACCCGTGAGCCCTCGGGCTTAGCTGCCACTAACCCGCGTCAGGTCGTTGGCAGCCTACACTTTCCTCCTCCTCCAGTCCGGTAGAGAGAGAGAGAGAGAGAGTTCATGCATTGTTCGTATTCTTCAAGACCCGATATGTAATCTCTCCGTTCACGTCTCCTCAAAGCCCCATAACAAGCGGGGGCCGAAAGGCCGGGGGACTTCAACCGTCCCCTGTGCCCCATGCTGTAGCGCTGGCGAAAAAGAGTATTTGCTGCTGACTAGGAGGATGCACACCGTAAGCTCATCACTTCCTACTTCCTCTAGCCTGGTAGAGAGAGAGAGAGAGAGCAATCCTCCTGCCCACAGCCGTGACGAAAGGAGAGAGAGACAGAGAGAGAGAGAGCGAAGGAAGAAGAGAGCTAGAGAGAGAGCGACAGAGAGAGGGGCGAGCGAGTAGTACCGACAAGCCTTCAGTCCTTGAGCCATGATGAACAGTCCTACTTGGTGGATGTACTTGCTTCCCTTTGCACCGCTTTCCTACTTGGTTCCAACAGACCCCGCGTACAGCATGAGCCTTCCTGAGTAGATTCTCCCAGGGAGTCTTCTGTGCTGACTGAAGTTAGAGAGCGGGGCTGAGTATGTGGTCTCAGGCTAGATTCTAGATGTGATGTTTTTCGGTGGAGAAGGCTACTAAGTCACTATGTCTCGGAACAAAGTAAAGGGGAAGAGCGAAGTTTGGGCCTGCTTTCGTTTGATGTATTCTGTACATTGTGTTGCTTCTTCGCTCTCGTTGCATCGGGCCAGTAACCAGTAAGCCTAGATGATATTTACTTCCGTTTTAGGCCCGCTAGTGAAGGAGAGAGTCAGAGAGCACGACCACACCTGCAGACCAGCGGGCGTGCACCGCGGGGGGGGGGGAAGGGGGTACCTTATTCCTTTGACCGTGCTGAAGGGGCGTGCCCTTACGGGGTGCAAGAAGCAAGAGCGAGGCTGTTTAATGGAGCTGTTGCCTCTCGAATCTGAGCGACTATAGTTCTTCGCTCTGCCCCCTGCCTGTTGTTTCAGCCGCCCGCAACAGAAACTGAAAGCTCAGATCCTCGGAGAGTATGCCTCTGCCTTAGAGCCTTGCCATGGCCGATCGTACTGTAGGAGCACGACGCAGCGAGGAAGAACGTGGGAGGGCATGCAAACCCCTGCTGCAGTCACGCTCGGGAGGGGAGGTTCACGGGAGGAAGGGTTTGCGTATCCGGCCCATTCGGGGACAATCATGCTCACACCAGGGAAGACTTTGCGTTAGGGTGGCCCTGAATCAACGACAGGTGCGCCACCTTTGCGAACAGGTTGTATGGGAGCCGGTACATCAAGCGAACTCGGATTCCCGTGAAGGCCTCAAAGGGAGAGCTGGTCCTTCCGGTCTAGCATTTGCGAGGTTTCCGCCGCCGGCGCGCTGGAGAGACACCCGGAAAACACGACGCCTAAACGGTCAGCGACGAACTCCAAAAGTTCAACCACCCTAAGATAAGCCGCCCTGAGCAAAAGTGAGTCTCTGAGCGGGGGAATGAGCCTAGACTTAACAGGTCCAAGGTGTTGCAAAAGAATCGACCACCTCTGTGTTTCAGTCTTGAATGAAGCGTGTCCGTATTATCTCCTCCGGTTTTTGTTCTGTCTATGTATGCGACCTTCATTATCCACAAAGCCTGGCCTTCGGCTCGGGGACCCTGAGAGAGAAACCCTGGGTGCCCCCCCCCCCTCTCTTCACCACAAAGACATACAAAGAGAACCTCAAAAGCAACCAAACGAGAGAGAGCTTTTCAGGTCTGGAGGCATGGTGGGGGAGGCGCAACTTCGCCCCGTGGGCAGCAAGTAGGACAGTGGTACGTGTGTTTGTCTGCCTCGGTGCTCAGGTGCCTGGGAGCCAGATGGTCAGTGTGGAAAGCGGCATCTGACTGAGCTCCGGGCTCGAGACCAAGCCACAACGTTTTCAAGAGTCGAAGTAGAAGAGGGTGTGCTTTCTTCCCTGGCTTTGAGTGTGGTAGCATGTTGAAGACTGAGACTCTGAGGTGCTGGAGTTGTTTTCAGGCATTGGAGGCCAGGGTAGCCAGGCTGCCAGGGTCCAGCAACCGATTCCTCTCCTCCGCGCAGGATTCCGAGCTGCTTTCCACCGCGCATGTGCTCAAGCAGGAAAGGTTGCCGGGCTGCTGGTATTCGCGATGCAATCAAGAGGGCATCATCTTGTGCATTCCCTGCCCTCGTGGCCCTCTCGGTGCTCGATGGGGTTACAGACCGTGGTTCCAACTGTTGCCTGTTGCTGGTGCCCCCGACACCACCTCGCAGCTCCCGCTACACAGGCCGCTAGGGCGACTAGCGGCGCTTGATTCAATTACAACTGCTGTCGGTCACTACCGTTACTGGGCGACCTTTATGCGTTGTGCATTCGCCTTTGGGCCCGCCACTCCTTAAGGCAAAGCCGGTCGCGTGTGAGATCGCGTCAATGTAGTGTGCCCGGAAATTCTGCAGTGAATTTGAGTCATACCGATTCCTGAGCATGATCAGGGTGTTATGACACTTCCGGTCCACATCTGGTCTCCTTGGCGCTTCTACACTGCTAGTAGTGCTCGTATGATGCAATGTAGTACAGTGGCGTCGTAGTAGGTGGTGGTAGTCGAAGCACCAGCAGTAGCAGTCGTGTTAGAAGCAGTGAAAGGCGGCCGTCTTGGGCCGAGTCTTTCATTGCAACCTACTGCACTCATCTAACGACATTTTTTCAGCTTAAGCTGGGAGACTGCTGACCTCTTGGTGACACGCAAAAGGGGCCCGCACGTAGATCAGCAAGCCTCCATAGATTTGGCGAATTACAAGCTATTGGCTACTCCTCGCCAGTAGCCCGTCGTTCTTCACCATGAAGTTGAACCAAAACGCCATCTGGCAGCTGGGTTTCCTCCAGTTGCTTTATTGAAAGCTGTAGCGGCGGGAGTCGAGGCTGAGCAGAGCGGCGTGGGCACTGAGCATCTGGAAACTGTACAATATGTATGACAACTACATGTAGATCTTGCGAAAGTGCAAAGCATACAGCCATTGCCAGACACGGCGAAGTGGTCAGTCACCAGCAATCGTCAGGACGTCCTGTGGAAGATGGCGAGTTGAAGCAATGGGTCAATTTCGAGGCCTCTAAGCTGGCAAACGAGGCAGGCCATCCCCGGCTGTGCAAGGTTGGCACAAGCCTTCGGACCCACCTTTCTTGCTGTTGTTAACATGGCGTCTTCGTCTGCATGGAGGTCTACAGCAGCAATTTCGAGGTCCCATATGCTCCTCTGTTACCGAAAGACATTCGTCGACTTCAGCCGAGCGAGGCACGATTTCAGACCTTTTGCGCCAATCATGTAGACGGTGCGAGCGCTTGCCTCGGGAAGTCAAAGTCCAAGTAGGAACGAAGCTGACATCTTGCATATGGAAGACGGAATTGACGCTATTGTCGTTTGGTCCGCAATGACGATAAGCCCGGCATCACACCAGCATTCGTGCCCAGATGTTTCCTTCTTGCTGCCAGATACGTTTGATTATCTGAGTGTTGTCCAACCATCCAGGAGGAGTCCTGGAGGTATGGTGAGGTGTATTCAATAAGATTCAATAAACATGTGTCCTTCGTGACAAGTTGCCAATTCATGGCTCTCGCGGTTGAGAGTTGGGTACATAGGTTGCATCAGATATTCAGGTTCACACCGTGGCGCGGAGGGGCGCAAAGGGTTCCAAAAGGGGGCAACTACGTTGATAGCACAATTGCTGAGAGTAGGTGGACTCTGCCGACCTGTGGATACTGTCTCCGTGGCTCAGCTGGATGGCCAGTGTGAAAGTTGCAGGCAGCCACAAGCTCCAACTCTTTCGAGTCTCAGGCCATGTCAGCCATACACGCGTTTGGGTCGTCGTGGCGACCTCGGGGACCGGCGGGCGCAGCCCCTGCGGCACTTGGCCTCGCGGCGCCCTAAGTGCGAATGTCTGGGCCAGGACGCAAAGCAGTGCAGCACCGCCCGCAGCCATGTAATTTAAGGCTGTTATCGCAACTGGAGGAGCCTCCACAGGCCGAAGTTCCGAAGCACAGCAGTTGCATTTTGCTGCACTTTGCGGCTTTGCCCATGAGCCAGGCGATCCTGCTAGAAAATGTCGTGGGTCCAAGACTGAGCTGCCGGAGAGTTCCTGACTATAGTGACTATAGTGGGACACTCGTCCTCGATTTGCTTGCATGCTTTCAAGATACAGGTGCGTTGAGTCATTACGATACGGTGTGTACCTGCAGAAAATTTATGGCAACGAACATGTCCATGAAGGCACAGGTGGCTGAAGACATTGTTTTGACGTTGTTCTGTCATTGCCTTGCCTCGAAGTGTGCGAAGGACTGCATGTTGTCTTGAAATCCCTGCGTCTGCGCCAGTTCGTTCCGTATGTCTGTAGTGTTTCGCAGGCTTTGAAACGTCGGAATCCTTCAAGATGATCACGCAGGCGGATCCTGTTTCCGTGCTGCTGCAGTGTCGTGTCTGCGCAGCAGATACAAGCTACACTAGCGACTCAAAGCTGGACAGGGCATGTGCACACCATCCAAGTCGATTTCTCAGGCTTTGCTGCGAGCAAACTTCGAAGTTCGTGTATTCCAGCTGAGCCCTCTTCAGCTCGGCAGCTGCGCTTCGAATTTTGGAGTCCGGGGTCGACAGAGCTTGATCACCTTCTGTAGCATGGCCTGGTTGGTTTGGGTCTAGAAGGCTCTATTCTTGAGGCACTACATGCACTGCTAAATCTCGGCTTAAGCTGTGTCTCTCTTTGAGGACCAGCTGCAGACGATCTTTCTCCAGCTTAGCCTCTGTTGGCCATGGTCGAACAGTGGGCTCGCTTGATTTCAGATGATATCTGGCGCGCTTTGACTGCTGCTGGAGTTGAATCTGCTGAGGATTTAGCCTATCTTTTCGTGTCGGAGGATGAAGCCCGCGAGTGGGCCGTTCTGCAGCAGTGTTCTCATTCCGCTGATAATTTCGTCGCTGCTTGGTCTATCGTGCGGAGACTGGTCGATGAGGACAGGACTGTTGTTGATCGTGTTCTGGCCGCGGAATTGGCGCGTCGTCGCGCTACTCCCAAGGCCCGGCCGGTCAGGGCAGTCTCATCTTCTGCTCCCCCGGAGCAGCTTTTCAAGAAGCGGCGAGCAGCTGTTACTGATAGCGTTACAGGTCTGGAGGGAGTCCGTGTTTTGGATTATGCACCTTCATCGAGTGTCGGCCTTAATCTCCCTGTCTCTCGGGAGCGAGATAGACTCTGGAAGCTCTGGGTGCGGTCTGGGTCGGACAATTTGCGCTATCAGGCTTTGTTACAGGATGGCACTCTGGTTTCGAATGCTTCGGAATGCCCGCTTGCCTGGGTCTTGTCGAAGTTCGAAAAATTCTCCGATGATCAGCTCAAGGCTCCTTTGCGGGCCTGGGATCGTTGGGAAGCTTGGCAGGCTGCGACCTGCCCCCAGGCCAATCTTTTTCGGCCGGATGCTATCTCTCTGTTTCAGTTTATTGAACAGGTTGCTGGGGGGGGCCCAACTGCAGCTCGTTCAGTTTGGCACCAGCTGCAGTTTCTTCGGGATAGGCTTGGCTTAAATTTGCCTTTAGCTGACCTCAAGGAATTCGTCATGGGCAAAGCCAGGGGTCAACCGGTGACCCAGGCCAGGGTCGTGGAACCAGCCTTTGTGATAGGCCTTCTCTTCGCTTTGGCTAGGGCCGCTGGTCCAGGCAGGGTCCTTCTCCAGTCGATTTGTGCCGCCTTGTTTTCATGCATCCGATGGCGGCATTTGCAGCGTTCTTATTTTACACATGAGGATGGCACATTGCTACATGCGCACTGCATTCAGGGCAAGCGCAGGGTACAAGGCGTTCGCCCACCTTATTCCTGGACAGTCCCGTTGCTTACTGGGCTGTGTGGTGGTCTTCCGGGCTTGGAGTCGTCTCCTCACTGGGCGCGTGGGCTGCAGGAACTTTTCGCTGATCTGGCACCCCGAATTCCTCCTGGGACACAGCCTTTCTTGGTGCCGCGGATACAGCGAGCGGACGAAGGCTTGTGGGCCCTGGGTGCGGTTGCTTGTCGGCCTATGGGCTTTCGGGCCTTTACAGAAGCCTTTAG